TTGTTCATATATATATATATATATATATATATATATATATACACGGTCGACATGCTTGCTTGTCCAAACAGGAATTATTTAGGTATTTCAATATTAATAGCTTTATGATTGTTGTACCAAATGAATAATGTTAGTGTACCTTTACACTGTTGGACCAAAAAACCAGCTAACATTTTCTTAATTCTTTTTGTATCCCTCAAAAATATGTACACACTTTGTGACTTGTGGGTCATTTACAGTTTTTTAATGCTGATACATCTTCCTGACCTTTTCTATTTATTTCTAAACTTAAATCTATGATCCAATGAATTATTATTTTTATTGTTTCTTTTGTTATAATCCATATTATTAAAAAAATGGATTTTTTTTACAAGGCAATAAAAGGACATTATAATTCATTAACATTTACATTTTTTTTAGTGATGACAAAATCAAAAATCATTTCTTAATTTTAGATTGAACAAAAGAGGCTTTTAAAAGTGATCAAAATTATTATGCATAAGTGAGATGCAATGTTAAATTTTTTTGTTTTAAATTGAAAACGAATAATATGTTTTTACACTTCTTTAATCTTTAGGTTCATTGAATAACATTTCTCCCAAAATTGGCTATTCAATTTCTTACCTAATTTCTTAAAATGTTAATTACTCCATGACGATATTTTATCTACAAAACATATTAGTGGTGAAATAAAAAAAACTCAAAAATACTAACTTTTTAAAAATGAAATATACATGTGATACTACTAAAAAGAGTTAAATCGATTTATATTATTTGAAAATTATGTAAACAATATATATTATCGTATAAATCACACTAATTAATAATTTAAAATAAATATAAAAATCATATAATCTTGGTATATTCTCTAAATTTCGAATCAGGTCATATAAATTGAAACAAAAAATGTAACATATATTAGACTCGTACAGTCGTGCTTGTACGAATTTCTGTATACATATAAAATTGAAACGAATGGAGTGATTCTGAATTTAATTGCTACTAAAAGTTAGGTCCACTTCTAATACTCTTCTTGTATATGTGGTACATATTTTTTTGATTTATTAAAAAAAATTATATTTTATATCTAAATATAATTTAAAATTTTAAAAAAATATATTATTATTAATCGGATGATTCACTTTCCAACTTCTGAATAACTTAATTTAAATTTTAATAGTACATTCTTAAACTCCCCTCAATAATTTACCAATTAATTAAGGTCAAATATTCAATTAATATGGGTGACTCGAATTTGACGAAGTCAAGAAAACCAATAATTATATTTTAGAAGTTTCAGTGTGTGATAATTTTTTGTTTTATTTACTAATTTACAAAATCAACTCAAAATATGGTCACTTTGTAACATTTTAGGATTTTTTTTCTTTTAAATATTAATTATGAAAAAATTTATATATGAGAGTGGATAGATGAGTGGTTTGAGATATTGCAATTTAAATTTGTGACACTTAGAAATCTAAAATTCTTAATGGTCCCGTAGCAATTATTGTTATTTGGACCTTCATAAATGATATAAATATAGTCGGAGACTTCTTCAAATTTGGTACTATCATTTATTATATATATATATAACTATTTTCTTAGTCCTACTTGTAAAATTCAAAGTCCTAGTTTCTTGATGCGTAATGACTTATTTGTAAAGACTTGCAATAATGAATATAACAACATATGGTAAAACAATAAATAAACGGAAAAAGAGCAAAGGTACAAGTTCCTTTACCTATAAGGATAAAAAATTAGATAAAAAAATTGTGGGTTGTATTTTCATTGATTGTGCTACAAACAACAACAATTGTCGGTTTTGATTCACAAATTTGACAATTCTAAAATTCATGTTAACATGGTAATATGATGTTACTTATCAGTATATTGATATCTAAAATTACGATGTCAACGAACTACTCAACGACAATAAAATACACTAGAGTTTGGTTTCATTTCTTCAAATCATGCCAATAATAGTCATTCATGAAGTAAGTCAAGAATGTGTTTGGTTAAAATCAATAACTCAATACATTCAAATAACATGTGGCATTTCTTTGAAAGGAGATGCTCCAACATTATTGTATGAAGACAATGTTGCATGTATAGCTCAACTAAAGGGAGGGTACATTAAGAGATCTACATTTCACCAAAATTCTTTTTCACTCATTATCTTCAAAAGAAGGGTGATATACATGTTTCAACAAGTTCGCTCAAGAGATAATTTAGTAGATATTTTTACTAAGGCATTACCAACTTCAACTTTTGAGAAATTGAGATACAAAATTGACATGTGTCGTCTTCGAGATATTAAGTGATGTTTTCACCAGGGGGAGTAAATACATGTTGCACTCTTTTTTCCTTAACCAAGATTTTTGTCCCACAAGATTTTTCTTGATACGGTTGTAGACAATAAAATTTGCGCCGAGAAAACAATAGTCAAGAACGAAAATATTATCGCAACAATCGTTTTATTATTTCAAACTGCGAGTGTTACAATCTCTATGATTCCTCTGAATTCGCCTTTTCAAATATAAATTCAAGGGCTCTTGAGCTTGTTCTTGAATTTTGTTCTTGTTCTTGGACTTTAATCTTGGATTCAAGGGCCTTTGGAGCTTGTTCTTGAATCTTTGATGAACTTGGACTTTAACTTTATCTTGATATTGAACTTATTCTAACTTTAACTTGATCTTGATCTTGAACTTTATCTTGACTTCTAGTTGAATCCAAGGGCTTCGAGCTTGATCTTGAATCCGGTGGTCTTGATCTTGATCATTCTTGAACTTGAACTTTATCTTGATCTTGACTT